GTGGGTAGATTCCTCTTATTTTCAGAAAGAAAAAAATATGTATTTTACCTTATTCTTTTTTATTTCATTTTATTTCCTGCAAACGTCCATTGATCTTTTTCTATATTTACTTTTCTTTGTTATTCTGTTGGCTGTTGTTTTCACTTCTGTTTGCAAATGACATTTCGTAGGCTTCACTCCTATATTGATTTTACCATTTGTATGACTTTTATCGGTAAAACTAATTTGTTAGCGTCTTCGGCCCATTAATGTAGTCGTTATTTACTTTACTGACTTCTTAATGTGTAATCACACATTTTAAAGTATAAAATATATAATATTCGTCTCAAGATTTTTTCTTCGAAATCCTTTCGAGCAAACAAACAAACACGCAAAGAAACGAATGTTCTACCGTTATTTTTGTGTCAATCTGTGTAAAAACACACCATCAATATCAAGATTTATAGTACTCGCTTGAAGGCTTCAAAGCCGTTTAAGTACATGTCATCTTGCAAAACCCGTTTCAATTATCTTTCCCTCCAGTTTTCACAAAAGCACGCATTTGGATTTGCTTTTCTTGGTGGACTTTTCAATAGCGGCTTTCACCGCCTCGTTCAGCACTTCCATGTAACCTCGCTGCTTCAAAGCAGAACATTCGATGTACTTTATGGCACCAATTTTTCGCGCCAGTTTCTTGCCTTCCTTGCAAGTTACCTGCTCGGCTGGGCGCTGGCTGTCACCTTTCCCGCGCTTTTTGCCACCCTCAGCATCGCGGAGATCCAGCTTCGTACCGATAAGAACGATGGGAGTTCGGGGCGCCAGTTGTTTGACCTCTTTGTACCATCGGCCTTCGGCGTTTCGAAACGATTCCAAATCGGCGATAGAAAAGCACAGACAAAACACGTCGGTCTCGGGGTAATTTCGTTGCCTGACAGCATCTTTCCCCTCCTGGCATTCCGTGTCCCAAAGCTCCAGTTGATAAATGTTGCCGTTGATATCAATGTTTGCAATGTAGGCGCTCGTGAACGATTCTACTTGCTTTCGAGACAGCGTATTTGAACTGTAGCACAGCTGCAGTAGCAGACATGTTTTACCAATTCCATTGTCACCGAGAAAAACACATTTTACCTTTCTCTCGATATCTGTGTCTCTGTCAGCGACGACTGCAACGCCATCAACCATATTTCCCAGATAAAAATTGTCGAAGATTTCAGTTCTGTCGAAGACGAAGCCGGATGTTTCGTCACTAAGCCGATGAGAGATTCTTGCGGCTTTCGTCTGCTCGTATTATTTGTCAATGATTGACAAGCCTAAAATATCGCCTTCCCGTGTCGAATATCAACCTCGAAATGCCCTGTGAATAATGTCTGGCTCGTCACGGCGTTTATAAGCAAACTATTTTGGATTTTTCTCTGTGCATAATCAAGGAAATGATTGAGTTTGATGATGAGACCGCACTGGCTGTCTCGCATGACTATTTGTAAACATTGTTCGAAATGTAGTGACGTTCTCGGGAGATTAGCATAAGATAGTTTCCTCAGATGACAAGAATACAAAGCGATTATAAATATGGAAATCTTGGCTAAAAACCTTTCATATTAATTTTGTTCTGTCGACGAAAAGGTGACGTGAAGTTATGCCTACTTCAGCTTTTCATGCTTTCGCATTGGCAAGAATATTTTTAAAACCCTGAGGCTCTGAATTATTTATTATCGCGATTGTGTCTGCAATTTAAAATAATATGTTCCCCTAGAATTATAAATAAAAATCTCGTCGACTTATTTCCATATTTTTTAAGTGTTCGTCGAAATTATTTTCAATTGTTACGTTTGCAGAATAACTTGATGCATATATTTGAATTATTTTCGATTTTCCAAGATTCGTCGTGGTGAAGTATATTTGCTTGTGAATACCTTGCCGGTTTCGATTGTTTTAGAAATTTCACTTTGTACCTAGCTCGGTTGGAAACCCTGTATTCGTATAAATGGGGATTATTTCTATGCTTGTCATTGGCGAACTAAGTATAATTCATGACGTTTTCTTCGTGTTTGGAATAAATTGTTTCACTTTTGAATAAGTTTTTGTATTTGCTTGTAACCGGGGAAGGAAAATTTCGCCACAATTTTGGAGCTTTTTGTAAAGTTCCAATTCGCCTGGCGCTTGTTTGTCCCGGCTTTGTTGTGCGAATCTTTAGAAATGTTCATTATTATTTCTTTTGAATTCTTTGTTAGGTTATCACGTTCAAAGCTCGATAAATTCTAGGTTTTGTTAATTCATAAATGAATGATTATCAGCGATAAAATATTTGACACGAAACCAATATTATGATATTTGAGACCTTTGGGAATTTGCATACGTTTTCTGCTCGGGTTGAGAGGTCGAGTTTGTTTTTGTTTTGCTTTTTTGGGCAAGTTTTACCCGATTTTGGAGCGGTTGTGGTAATTTTAGTTAGACATTTTTTTGGCAAAACTAATTCTTGTAAATTGTTTTATTTGATATTTTTGATCGTTTAGTCTCAATATTGAAGCTAGACAACTCCTTCGCGTCTCCTCGGTAGTAGTAAACAATTTACGTAAATATGCCATTTATATTAAGATAAAAAAGTAAAATCCCGTGGAAATCTTGTACGACTTTGCGCTTGTCTCCCTAGCTGGCATTAAATTCGACATGTCCAGTTACCCTTTTTTTCTCACTTCCATGAAAATTTTATGATTGTTTTACTAATCATGCGTTTTCTTTCTTAATGTCTTTGTGATTCGCACCAAATTTTCCATTACATGTGGGTGATGCAAGATATAGACCCAACACATAATTATCTTGTATTGTCAAAAGCCTTTACTCGTCTCAGAGAAGTGTGATCTTTCAGGCTACAGGACAGGGCAGTGCACGGAAAAAAGTAGATGTCAGACTCTGTTTAATATTTATTTTGCTGAATAGCATGTTCCCACAAAAAAGTTACAATGCTGAGTACAGAGAAAATGTGTCGGGCACAACATCTAAAATTACACAGAGTCTGCTTGACTTGGTGGTGGGATGTCACGCTACACTCTTTTGGACACGTTTTGGAGAAGCGTTGTGTGACGGCCCGAGTAACGGTTACGAAAAGAGATTGATCAACATGGACGACAACAAGCAACCCCTTGTTAAGACATTGTCTAATAGAAGAATCTCAATTTTCTGGATGAATAGAGCAATACATTTAAATTTGTCCTGTGAGAAGAGCACAAAGCAAGAGCCTCGGTCCTCGCGTAAGGAGTATCTCGCGCGGGATGTCTCGAGTGGCTTGCGCGAAGGGAGAGTATTGCGCGAGAGTCTCACTCGAGAGTCTCAC